ATTGGGAAGTTTGAGATTCTTAGAAGTCTTTAGGTCCAAGGGATTTAATTAATGTGAAGGGTAGTGGGGCATCTATGCTTATGGCCTTTACAATTGCATCAGCTGCCTAGGGAAGGGCCGATCAGATTTATGTACAGATTCAGTGCGAGAATGCAAAATCTATTTTCTCATAGATAGTTCCCATGGTGTCCAGGTAAATGTCATGGCCCGATCAACGCCCAATTGACAGCTAATAATTACGCACTTCAACAGCCGAGCACATGGCAATGCAGCTGGTTATTAGGGCTGGCTGCATTTGGTCTGGGTTCATAGCTATGCATATACCCCCTGCACCCAGCACCCTGCTCCCCGGGCTTACCCTTAGGCGCCTAGTCGTGCCAGCCGAGCAGTTAAGGGTGCGTTTTAGCACCATCGTGTGAATTTGTCTCGTCTGTGCATGCTGGGCATCACATTGGTGGCATCGCAGCATCAGGCAACTCTTTGTCATCTTGCGAGCAGTCGCACAAATCTTAGGGTATTGTTTTGCAGCTAATTCAGTGCGAATCTTAAGCAACCCTTTGCGAGGAAACACGGCAGCCGAATATGGTTTTAAAAGAGACCATTAGTGTGGGAATTTTGTATTTTCAGTTGCTCTGAGATTTGCTCTAAGATTTTGGTGTTGTTCCTCACATTGGTTTTGACTAACTAGAACTCGAAAAGAATATTTTCAGCATACGTTTGTTGTTGTTATACAGGAAGAGCCTAATTGCCTTGAAACACACTTTTAATTACTTCGCTAAGCATCCGTTAAGCCATCGTGTATGAAGTGCATATATTTATTTCATTTTTTATGTGCCACATTAATTTGACATTTACTTTTTTTTATGAAAATTCCCACGACCACCAACACAAACGGCGAGTTTACAAATTTTAAATTCCGACACTCCGATAAGCAAACCCTCCCCCCTTACGAATCGAAAAAGAGGCAGAAGGAGAGAGAACCAACAGAATTGTTGGCTGTTCTGTTGGAAAGGACTACATACGCTGGTGCCAAAGGACGTCGCATCGTAGCTGTGTACATATTTGGCTTCAGCTTTGGTGGTTGGTAAACCCTCGATCCGCCGTCTGGCCGACTATGAGGCCAGAAGACAAAACGCCGGGCGGCATAATTATAATTGCATATTAAGTACGCGCAGAAAGCTGGCCAAAGGAAAAAAGAAGAGGAAGCCGTAAATGTGTATCCTTTTTTAATTTTTTTCCTTGCCACCACAAAGCGTGTGAACTGCTGAATGCATCCAGGAATGCACGTATATATATGTTATATGAATATTCTGTCTGGGTTGACATTGGGTTGACTTGAACTGTGACTGAACTACCTACTGATGTGAGAGGCATGAATAGATTCGCATTTTTAATTGTTTCCTAGTTCACAGAGAATAATGTGGAATGTAGAGAAGTCTGATTTCATTTAATGCTGACCTTAATTTTAATAATGATTTGCCGGATTTAAAAAGTCTACTTTCATTTAACATTGATCATCATTTTAATAATGATCAATCGAAACAATGACTACTATGGGCTCAGTATTTCTATCGTACCTCTCTTCTAGAGAATTCTTATTAAATTAAGCTTTCATCACACTCTCAGTTATTTCGTAAATACTTATTTCAGTTCTCTGGCTCCACCCTTCAGATACTTTCAATATATAGAGCTTCGATGTCGTATTTATGACATTCAAAAGTCTCTTTGTTGAGTTTGTTCATATTTCAAGACATATTCCTAAATTAAAGCTTATTCGTGGTTGTCTTTAGAGCTAAAATCTTAAGAAGCCCGAGGTATAACCATATTTTCTTAGTTAGTTAGCACCAACCTTGTGGTATGTCAATTACAGTAATTTTAGCAACTCCTCTGAAGTCTAAACCAACAGAGATTATATATTTGCAGTATTTACTCTGTAATTATTTCCAGACCCACCCATCTAAATCTAGCTATGTCAGTATAGGGTTTCAGCCTTTGCACTGTTATCCTGTAAGCTAATCCCTCTGCAGCGACTTAGGCTGAGAGAGGAGGAACAGTGCTATGAGTAAACGGATTTAGTCAGCTAGCACTAATCCAGGCTTATCGGTAGGCCTGTCAAATCCTTCAACTTAGCCCTGTCGCATCTCTGACAATGAGAATTTCCTGATCATTCAACCGACCGAAGCTGGATAGACGCAGCTGTGGTCAGAGTCTACCGCGTGTGCAACAACTTCTGGTGCTCAATTAATAACAGACCTCTGTACAGACATAGAAAGCTTCACTAGGCAGCTCTAGTGGGCGCCAATGTTAATTAGTGTATTACTAGGCAATATAGTAAGTGTATGCTGCTTGATATATACATGGGGATAGGCGTCTGGTTTAGCAGTGTCAATGACTGCGCTACAAATTGGTCATGGGGGTTAATTGCTTAATGGCGTCTAAAGGCAGAAATTTGCCATTTGCTGTGGCACGCTAATTTACGGTTATTCATTATTTCATTATGTCATGAGAGTGTCATGTGTTACAGATCAGCGAGACTTATGATTTATAGATGAATAAATATCATTGCTAACATGTGCTCAAGCTGATATCAGATGATTTCCCTTTGGCATGTGGACTTTATTAGTTCACTATCATCAGAGTCAAAGGCAAAGAATCTATATTTGATTTAAGTTCTTTTAAATTCTCTCTGATTGATTAGATTCGAGGCAGCTTCTTTGCATCACTAAATCTAGAGATATTAATCCATTGTTATCTGGTTAAAAGTTGCTTGGAAATTACACTGACGTAAATGGTATAAGATTTTATGGCCTTTGTTAATTAGCCTGCAGGGTAAATATACAAATTTTATATATGAAGCAAACATTGATTTTACCTTTACGTGGATATATTGTATATACATGTGTGCGTGTGTGTATAGATCTATCTGTTTATAGTCTGAGCATGTATCTCAACTACTTTCCGATCTGTTTGATTTTCCTCATGGTCGAGTGGAACCTGTTTGCGGATGGCTTAGTGGTTGAATGAACCCCCCATTCGGATGATGTTCAGTTGGTGGCCCATTGTTGTTGTCACTGCTGGAATCATGTTCAGTTTTAGAGCGTGACTTAATAGGCTTTTTGTTGTTGTTGTTGTTGTATTCTTAAATCTGCAGTTTCATTAGTATTTTGTTTATAAGCGAAACGTGTCGTTCACGCAGTTCTCGAGCCAAATTAATCATAATGAAAACAAACAACAAAATATGCTGAGTTACATTATAAATCAAATAACTGCGATACAGTTTTGTATACATCAGAGAGCTGAGATATATTTTGATCGAGTGCTATGCGTTAGTTTGGAGAGGATTTTATAGGATATTTGATGTTGTTTCAGTATGCCTGTCAACTGCACATAATATATCTATATATAAAACTGAAAGTGACCTATAAATACTTTTGGTAATGCTTCTACAGAAAAGCAATCACCTTTTATTACTTGGGTGTTCTGACTCTGAAAAGCATTTGGTTGAGTGACCTACATTATGAGCAGGCCGCAGCTGTTTGGGGCCAGCACAAATCTAAATCTCACGGCTTAGGCGCACAATTTGATTAGCTTGGCTACAGCTGACCCTTTCGGAAAGCTGCAGCCACGCCCAGACTAGAATACGAGGTGCCTCCAGCCAAGAAATGCAGTCAAACCAGCATCCAGCCACAATGGCCACAAGTCAACGCCCCAGCCAGCCGTTTCGGCTGCCCTTGCAGAGGCGGCGACATCCCCCAGCTGAGCAGAACTGGGCAGCATAAATCCATATAAACCTGTTTTCTTAGATTTACAGTTAACTGTGGTTATCTAGCTGCACCAAAGCAGACGTAGAAGAAGAAGAAAGCTACTGCCCACTCTTACTCAAGCAGCTCCATAAAAACTGGTATTAGTCATTGTTTCTCTATAAGATAACATGAATATTATGTGTCTGATAAGAAATCAGCATGTTGTTATTTTACAGCTAATGGGAAAAATGTGTTTGGTATCATATAACAGCCTAAGAACCCATCTCCAGTGATATATTCAAATTATATAATGTATCTAATTTATTTATGCTAATGCCGTCTATTCTCTATTGATTCTTTATTGATCAGCTGAAGGTTTCTATCAACTAAGAATCCATCTCAAGTGTTATATTTAAATTTTATGACAGAATTTATTTATTCTGATGCTGATCATATAACAGCTCCCATCTGTGGGCCCATCTCAAGTGTTATATTTAAATTATATAATTTTTCGAATTTATTTATTCATCTCAAGCATTTTGCTGCATCCGATTTAAGCTAATGCAGTTTATTTTCTCATGTTGATTTTGTTAGCGCTTCGGGTGGCTCGTGTTCTCCATTTTCCCAGGCAGGGGCGGGAGGAGCGTGTTAATTATAAATTAAAGCACACATAGCGCATATAGTCCGGTTAAGTTTACCGCAATATGAGACATGTGATAAAGTCACAAAAACGTCAGCGTATGTCGCCGCAGCGCAAAGAAAACAAAAGCCCCACCAAGTATAAATAAATAAGAACAAAACAGAAGAAAAAAATAAAATAAAAACAAATAGAAAATAGAATAAATTAAAAATATAAAGCGAAACAACAACAARAAATAATAATATTATTAAATATGTGTAAACAATTACGTGAGACTGGCAGCCGTGCGCACGATAAGGCCCGACTGGGTTTGCAGTCGTTAGTTTGGCGACTGGGGACTGGGGGCTGCTTTCCCATAGGTTAGCTGGCCTTGAGTGGGTCTTTGGCTAGGCAGTAGCACTAGAGATTCGGGCTGGCATGTTGCCATACCATGCAGAGCAATTATGGATCCATTCGCATTGTTGAATTTTAGGGGCGTTGCCAGTGACACCCTTCGATAAGGTTTAATGAATGTGTGTGACTCACAGAATCGAATCAATGCATAGCAGAGACGTCAAACTGCCGTTAGATAGTGGCCGCTAAACAATCGTCAACATTCGTTCAAAATATTTTTACAGATCGAGCAACAACAGCAACAACACCAACAGAAACAGAAACAACAGCAACGGCAACTCATCAATTAATTTAATCAAAGCCCATAACTCAAATTTAGCGAACAAATAAAATTGCGAACGCAACAGCCCAATAAATAGATCAATAAATAAAATACAATCAAATAATATAAAACATACACAAGATACAGAAACTATCAACACGAGACTGTCATAAAAAGAGAGAGACAGTCAGACAGAGTGAGAGAATTGCAAGCAGCTGTCGGGTGACATCTGGCAACGCTGTCTGTTTCAAACTGTAACGGTTATTGGCAGCATTTTACTCACGCAAAAGCCAAACCGGATAAAGCGAGAGAGAGGGAGACAGAGAGCGAACGAGAGTGAGGAAGAGCAGCTGCCAGGCGTAGCAGAGTGAAAGGGAGAGCACGAGCAGACCACAGCCATGGGAAACTCGTCGTCACACACGCACGAACCACTGGAGCGCGGCTTCACACGCGGAAAATTCGGCGATGTTAAGAATGGGGTAGGTAGAATGGTAGCAGCAACAACAACAACAACAACAAGAACAGGGGTTGATCGGCACTTGTTTCTCCTAAATAAAATAAAATAAATAAAATCGAATCCAATTTGAATCCATTATGCATCCATTAATTTAAACAATTTCTTTATCCGATATCCACATAGAAATCCGCCTCGTTTCGGTTTAGCAAGAAATCGCCCAAAAAGATGGATCGACTACGGCGCTCGTTCCGCGACTCGTTCAGACGTCGCAAGGATCGTGTGCCCGAATCGTCGAAGCCGCATCAGTGGCAGGCCGACGAGGAGGCCGTGCGCTCAGCCACCTGCTCGTTCTCGGTGAAGTACCTGGGCTGCGTGGAGGTGTTCGAGTCGCGCGGCATGCAGGTCTGCGAGGAGGCACTCAAAGTGTTAAGGGTGAGTCACAACGCACAATGATTGACTGTGAAATCCAAAAATAGGCAGTAATAGCTGATCACGAATGGGGATACTCTAGGGGCAAACAGATGTGGCTAAGCTTATTGGTTTGACTTGACTATTATTTAATGAGTTGGCAGAGTATCACAACAGAGTGGCAGAGTATCATTTCCCTCTTGGATTGATAACTGAGAAGCAGTAGACAAATTCGTTATTAAGATGTGTTTCATTGGATATAAGATAATGATGTATTTATAAAATTCTGAAAATAATCTACAATTTTTCAAGGATCTGGAACAGTTAACACAAAAATTATCTTTAATTTATCTAGGATCTAGATACGTCAATATACAGTATAATACTAATATAAGTATCCTCAGCTTAACTAATCGAATTGAGTTAAAAATATATTTTATATTTATTTAAATATTAAAATTTGAGATGAATTTTATATTTACGTAAACTTTGAATATTTTGTAGGCCATAGAGTATAGAATATTGACTGACCATTCCTTTTGTTTTTATATTTCATGTTCATTTAATTATAAAAAAATTTTACTACTCCATATTCTTTTTATACCCTGAACCCATTGAAAATGGGAAATCAGGGTATAATGGTTTTGTTGAAATGTATGTAACAGGCAGAAGGAGGCGTGGCAGACCCCACAAAGTATATATATTCTTGATCAGGGCGACGAGCTGAGTCGATTTAGCCCTGTCCGTCTGTCTGTCTGTCCGTCTGTCCGTCTGTCCGTCTGTCCGTCTGTCCGTNTGTGTGTGTGCGTGTTTCTTGTGTAAGCTGAAAGACGCGAAAAATTATTGAAATATCTATTGCTGCAAGGGTTCAGGGGATCTCGTAGTCGAGCAGTCTCGACTAGAGCTTTCTTACTTGTTTTTATTTTTTTTTTGTTTTTTTGTTTTTTTTTTTTTCTTTTAAAATGTATTTAACCTACGAATCTATGTTAACTTATTAAACAGAGCTGATTTTCTGTTTGATATTAATTTAAGTATATAAATTGAAATTGTTCTCAATCTCTTATGTATCATATAAATCTACCTGCATACATAAAAAAATGTATTGATCTGAAAAGCTTGTTAGAAATTGTAATCAGAGCTTGGGATGATTAGATATCAATAGTTGGTAATAATATCCGCCGAGTGCCTGCAAATTGGGTTTCATTTGATTGATAATTTCACCGATGACTAATCGAATTTATCCGTTGCTCTACAGCAATCGAGACGGCGGCCGGTGCGCGGCTTGCTTCATGTGAGTGGAGATGGTCTGCGCGTTGTGGACGACGAGACGAAGGGCCTCATTGTGGACCAGACCATCGAGAAGGTGAGCTTCTGTGCGCCGGATCGGAATCACGAGCGTGGCTTCAGCTACATTTGCCGGGATGGGACCACTCGGCGCTGGATGTGCCACGGCTTTCTCGCTTGCAAGGACTCCGGCGAGAGGTTGTCGCATGCTGTGGGCTGTGCCTTCGCCGTTTGCCTGGAGCGCAAGCAGCGGCGCGACAAGGAGTGCGGCGTGACAATGACCTTTGACACTAAGAACTCGACCTTCACGCGCACCGGCTCCTTCCGACAGCAGACGCTGACCGAGCGGCTGGCCATGGCCACGGTGGGCAGCAACGAGCGTAGCGCGGATGGCCCAGCGCTGCCCGGCCCGCCAGCCGCCACGGTGAAGCCGTTCAATCCGTTCGCCATCGAGCGGCCACATGCCACACCGAACATGCTGGAGCGGCAGAGCTCCTTCCGGCTGAGCACCATCGGCAGCCAGTCGCCCTTCAAGCGCCAGATGTCGCTGCGTCTCAATGATCTTCCGTCCAATGCGGATAGGCAGAAGGCCTTCCTGGCCGCTGCCTCCGGCCACCCGAATCCACACTCGCTGCACACTCCGCTGCGCAGTGTCTCACCCATTGCGGAGGTGTCGCCGGCCAAGACGGCTGGCGGAGATCCGGCCATCGTGGCCGCCGACACGGTTAGCCAGCTGTGCCAGGAGCTCAGCCAGGGGCTCTCGCTGCTCACCCAGACGGACACACTGCTGGCGGCTGGGGATGATCTGAACTTCAATAACAACCGCAGCATCAATCAGAACATCATTGCCGCCGAGAAGCAGCAGCAGGTAATCTCGTACAGCACCAGTGGCAGCGGCAGCACCAGCGCCAGTGGCACGCCCACTGCTCAAGTGCCGCCTCGCGTGGTCGGCATGGCGGTGCAGCCGGCTGTGCAGTCGCCGAAGCGCACCAGCTTCGAGCCGGTCGCCGATGCAGTGGAGCTGCCCAATGCCGATCAGTGGCTGGGCCAGGTGGTGCGCACCACTTCGCCCGCTGTGCCACCCAAAAGGCCGAGCTACTTGGCGAACGTGGGACGGGCTCAGACCATGTCGGCGAGTGCCTCAGTCGGTGGCGGTGGATTAACCGATACCGATCCCTTTGACGCTGAGTGGGCGGCCAATGTGGCAGCGGCCAAGAAGATGTCACCGGATCTGCCGGGACAAGCAACGGGATCTGGCATCACCAACAGCAGCAGCAGCACCGCCACCACCAACAGGCACAGCACGAATCCGTTTATCTCACCGCCGAAGGCGCCAGCGCAATCGTTCCAGGTGCAGCTGTAGAATGGTGCTTCCCAGACAGACAGAGAGAGAGAGAGAGAGAGAAAGAGGGTGGGAGAGCTGGAGTGAAAGAGAAGGGTTGGGCGATGGGGCGATCCAAAGTGTGGTTCACTTGAAAAACGTAACTTAGTGTAATGGGGCAGAGGACAGCACGACGGGAAGTTAGATAGAATTAAAGATAATGATCAAGATACCGCTATTCGATTCCAGGTACTTAACGCAAACAAAACAATTGTTGAATTATATATATATTAAATACACTATGAAAGTACAGAGACGGGAATAGACCGTTAAATATACGCTACGCATAAAGTAAAGTTAACTACGCATAATAAGCAAAGCAAGGCACCTACACAGATACTGAGACACCTGCGGACAGGTGTGACAGGTCTGTGATGCTTAGCAATAATCAATGGAATGGTACTCGTACTGCTTACACTTCCGACATTCCCACATCAGCATACACGCATATATATATAATATAGGCACGGATATCCAGAAATGCTGCACGCCGATTTAGACCAAGCTCCAAGACCACCTTCGACAGCAACAACAGCAACAACGAGTGCACCTCTACTTTATAGTACTTATAGTACATAGTTTCACATGCCTGCACATTCATTTACATAAAAATATATATATATCGAGTTATATATGTGGTTAATGTTGATAAAGTATTTTATTTGGATGTAGCCTTCCACAACTTGTTGATGATCAGTCCCATTCTCGATACCTTCATATACATATACTGACTACCATACATATCGTACATACATAATGAGGATAATACGAAAAAAAATATATATATATACCTAATATATATCTAAAATAATGCTTGTGTATATGTGTATATCGAGAGTTCTATATATTTAACATATATATATATATGTATGCCGAGGGCCAATGTTTTGTCTGTCACTTTTGATTTATGCGTCTATATAAATATGTCAATTTTTTAAATTATAATAATAATTTAACAAAAATAAACTTCAAGTTAATTAAACAAAAAGGACGGTGTTTATTTTTATTGTATTTAATGATATGCTAAGAAAAAAAATGTATGCAAAGATGTAGTTGGCGGTGCAACATGCATCGAAAATATATATTCAATGTATAGGAGCTGTGTTTTTTTACATTATGAGAAATATGAATTTTATTATATGTATTACATTTAAAATATGAGCTTAGAAACTGCAGGCAGACAAAGAGTGAATTTACTGAACTAGGCTGTGAATATGTCTAGGATGAAAATAAGATGAATGTACAAATTATTTTGGTCAGGGAGGTATTAATATAAAAAATAGATAAATTATTATAAAATAAGCCTATTAAGGCATCGCTAGATTCCCATCTAGTACTGAGTTCCTCAAAGGCCAAACATCACCAATTCGCTCTAATTAGCAGAATTTGAATTTGAAGATTTCACCCCTTTGGCTTTAATCGGATCTCATTATTATTGTCAATTTTATTATATTTAACGAGTACAAAATTTCCAGTCCTGCCAGTTTATATATTAGACGCACTGCTTTACACTGCATAATTCCAAATTTTCACTGCTTGCCGTCGAAGCCAATGGGATTAGCCAAGACACGCACCTTTGATAAGGTTGGTGCCAAAATTTGAATTTCAGACAAACTGTTAATAGCGCGCAAGCAGTGTAATGTTAGTGATCTGTTAATTAACATTTTTCATCCAACATCTCATTTATAAATTCCATTAGTCATGCAGTCTTTTCTCATCATACTATATCAGTTTTATTTCCATTTAAAATTTATATACTGACACCGAACCGAAATCAAAAATTTCTGTAATATATGAATTTATATATATACAACAGTTCTGAATACAGTGACCAGGGCCTGAATTGAATGATAACTTTGAGAAGTTCAGATACCCGAGTCCCAGTACCTTTGTCCTAGCCATTTGACGGCTTCCAGCCGACCTTGGTCCACCTTCCAGATGACACCATTTCTGTTCGCCTCGAGGACTTCGACTAAGCTCTTACCGGCCTGTTTCGTCGTCTGTGTAGGATGTATTAGAAGCAACTTGCCCACGCAGGGCTCAACATTAAGCCACGAGTTACATTTATTCTTCAATGGATTTTGCGTAATACCCGGATTGAACGAAAAGGCTGTTACACCTGTGAGGGGCGCCAGTTTCTGTGAAGAAAAACGTTGATGAGATTAAGTCATATAGATAGCAGTAGATCTCCAGCTAATTACCGCTAGCGAGATAGTGAAGCTAAGGACTGCCGCCTTCGAGGCACTGTAAACAGGTAGTTGGTAAATTGGATTGAAGGCACTCGCAGAGCAGAGGTTGGCGATAACGCCACCCGGGCCCCCTCTGCGCTTGTCCCAAAAGTCCATGATGGCTGTTGTGGTGTTTACTGTGCCCTTGAAGTTCACATCGACTGTCTTCGCGATCTGATGCTCGTCCAGCAATCCGGCGCCATTGATTAGCAAATCAATTTTCTTATATTCCTCAAAGACTTTGTGCAGCAGTTCCCTGCTGGCCTCCAAAGGCAGAGTCACATCATATTTATAGAACTTAATATTTGCTTTCTTATTGATGCGTTTCAGTTCCTCCATAGCCTTTGGCTTGATCGCTCTACCAAAAATTAGCAGGTTCTAAATGAACAAATCGGTTAGCATTGCGTTTCATTAGGCTTTGTTGTCGACTTTTCACCTTTGGTCCCTTTTTAAGAATCTCCCGACTGGCGGCCATACCTATACTACCCAGACCGGCGACAAAAATTATATTTCTGTCAGCGATTCTTCCCTGCTTTATTTGTTTAGTTCCCTTTCCTCTTAATCTTCGCAGTAGCATAGAGCTTTTCTTACCTCCTTTTGCGTTCTCTTTTCGCTCTTTACTTTTCCTGATATTCAACATTTCTCTTTTTTCGGCGTCCTCTTTGAGCACCTGGATAAGCAGAGTCAGTTATTATGGAATTTTTCAATTTCATTATGTAAGAGTTGAGAGTGCACGATTAGCAAATATCTAGATTTTTAGAGCTCCCTACACTTAATCTAAAGTTTTATAATCGTGGATTATCTAACGAGAAATATATTTTGCATCCTCAGTGGCTTTTACAGCCTAAAAGGAAAAGGTTCACAGCCTTGTTCCGCTTATGATATTTAAAATTTTATTTCCGTTAGATTATATATAAGAAAGAGAGAGCAATATTGTCTAAATCTATTTACGACTCACCCTAATCAGGTGCTTATATTTGGCTTTAACATGATTTGTGGCTCTTTTATCACAGTCGTTCGGATCGTCTGGTTCGTTCCACCTTGAGTATGTACGAAACGAGAGTTTATGGTCTGATGGCTTGCGTTGAATATGAGAAAAGGCATTGCGTTCTCTGGGTATTTTGCAAATGTATCTGGCTGTGTTCGAGATCCCGTTCTGCAGCACTGCAGGGAGAATGTTCATTTTCTAATACTAATAAAAAAAAATTAATTTTAAAATGACAATTTGTTTCAAATTTTGAAAAATTCTACGGATCACTTGGTTGGTTGGCCAGCTAGCTGGCACAGTCTTTCGATAAATCGAATTTAATTTATATGATGCTTTATGAACAGTTAGTTCTTGTTGAGCGTATACGCAATATTGAGTCGGCACTTATTTGAAGACATTTGAAGACCTGATAAAAATCTGGCAAGGCATCCATAACTTACAGAAACAAAGAGAGATAGAGAGTGAGATAATGAGACACAGAAACAGAGAAACTGATCAAAAAATGTTTCCGACCGATCGAGTTAAGACATAATCGATAAGGCATAAGAGTTGAGATAACATGGAATCTAAACTGATGCCAGGATTTAGGAAACTATTTTTATGATAATAAATTATGATTGAAAAATAATTTGATTGAATTTTGTTTCAGCCATCGAAATCTGATCAGCTCAACAGTCAGTCAGAGAGAACGCTAGAGACTTTAAATGATAAAGTTGAAAAAAAAAAAAAAACTAAGCTTGAAACAACTTAGAAACCCAGGGTATTCGGGTCATTTGCAAGCCGGACCCTCTCGAGTTCCATTTTGAAGGCATTGAGTCAGTTTTAATTTTGTTCTGGGCGCAAAAGAAAATGAAAAACAGCACGAGGCAGAGCAACATTGGGCTGCTAAGCACCCACTGAGCTCTCATTAGCCCATTTGTGACTATTGACGGTAAACAATGCCAAGCTTTGACTCAGACTTGTGGTGCAGCACGAACTCAGGTTTTCCCTGGAGCCTACGCTCAGAGGCTGCCCTGTTAAGCAAGCGAAGAGAAATGCTCGAAGCAACGGGCCACAAATTTATGACTTCAAGGCTCTGGCGCGAAAACGAGCACGGAAATGCGAACGAAACTGGGAACGCGAATGGGAATGAGATCGGGAACGGGAATGGAACGGGAAAGGGAAAGGGAAAGAGCGGCCTCTGGCTGCTAACTACCGAAATTTACGATCGGCGCATTTAGGTGGCCCATTGTCCGCAATGTTTATGCAATGTTTTCTGATTTTATATCAGCAGCTGGAATTTGTGGAGCTGCTACAGTCGGCTTTCTTTGTGGGCGTTGGGGAATGACACTTTCGGCAAAAGATTGCAAAGATAGCCCCTCTTCTTGCCTATTATCTAGTCGTCTGTCCAAAAATACTACAGTAGATAACACGATTGCGAGCAAATTGTTATATTCCTGCAAACAAGTCGATTCGCAAGACCAAATCGGGCTCAATGCTAAATGGTCAAACATTTAGCTGAATCCTTAGAAATTTCCCAGAGGCTTCAGCAGATCTCATATGAGCTGCCGCTGGGGGCATTTGAAAAACAATTTGGATTCATTTGGTCTTAGCACAGCTGCCAAAAATAGAAGTAGACCCAGAGCCGCCACTGAATTGGCGTTTGCTGCGCTCCGCTGATGAAAACGACTCTCGGTTTCCAGACCTTACAATTTCACATGTGGGTTGAACATGATGAGCCAATTGCTGTGCTTGCAGCGAATGTATGTTACCGGGTCTGTATGTTAAGCACTTTCTGGCCGAATCCCATACCAAATCCCAATAGTCTGAATGTGGCACAAACAGTATCAATTACCAATTGTTTATTTTACAACGTGTTCTTGATGTTGTGGCGGCTGCTGCGGCTGACGCAGCTGCTGCTACTGCGACAATGCCTGGTGGTCGGGTCGGTCTTTGTTTGTGGGCTGGTTTGTTGAGGCTCGCCAGCTTTGTGAATCCATCAATTGGTCGTTATCTTGATCGGAAACAATCGCAATCTGTCTACAATTTGTACAATGTTTCGGTGAAATTTTTCTTCTTCTTCTAAGGTTAATAAATTAGACTTTTCAGCATTAGTAAAAGTAGTCTTTAATTTTGTTTAGTTTCAGCAAAACTAATCCCCAAAAACACCCAAGATTCAATTGCTTTTCGCTTGCTTGTTTGACGTGGACAAGTATTTATATACATGTGCACACTTATATCATATACAAAAGCTTAAAAGCTTTCTTATTGAAAGCTTAAACAGTCGATGTACGTTTTGTTACTGTTTATTTTTAGTCGAGCGTTGAATCACCGGCTCGTTGGTCTAGGGGTATGATTTCCGCTTAGGGTGCGGGAGGTCCCGGGTTCAAATCCCGGACGAGCCCGAGTTGTATGACTTTTTATAATATATTATTTTAAATTTTTTATATATTTTTTTTTTAATTATTAATAGGTGTAATTAAGTATGCGGCAGAAGAGAATTAGTTTTATGACATTAAAATTATTAGTCAGAGCATCTAATAAAGACACTCAGAATAAAGTTTTATTTTGGTCTCTCTACCTTTTGATTTCCTGTTCAATTCAATTCAGTCTATGTACATTTGTAGATGATTCGTCAGTTGTGTTTTGCGTAGCCAGACGACTATTATTTTAAATTTTCAAAATTTTAAAAACAAATTTTTAAATTTTAGCTAAAATGAAATATTTTCCTGAATTGCTGAAGCATGGAATAGCGTGTACACCCAGATACGTTTCCAAAGTATCCAGTAGTAAGCCACACAGTCTGTCCAATTCTAAGCGTAAGTCAACAGATGGCGACCATGTTTGGAAGATATCCTTGCTCAAACGGTTAAAATCAAACAACACAGATTTTAAGGACCAGAAAAAGGTAAGTGTTTAATTATTATAAATGGCATGGCTTTCAAAAGTTAATTCATATTTCAAACACATATAATTTTTTGAAAAAAAAAAGGCAAATAAGTTAGGATATGATTTCCCTATTCCCTGATATTGTCCAAAAGTTGCATTAGGAAGTGACTAAATACTTCTGCGGAATTCATATAACTCTCAATCGTTAATATTTATTTTCATCTAATCCGATATTAATTTTTCATTCCCTTAATAGCAATATTATATATCTTCATTTTAATTAAAAAGTAACATATATCCGCGCATTGGGCTCGTCCGGGATTTGAACCCGGGACCTCCCGCACCCTAAGCGGAAATCATACCCCTAGACCAACGAGCCTGTTGTATATCGTTGACCGCCCAAAATTTATTTATATCGTATTAGCGTTTTTACTAAAAAAAGGCCGAATTTAAAGGTAACAATAAATAAAAGTGATTTAAAACAGTGTCACTTTATTAATTTGGTTGCATATAGTCGTCTTTTTCTAAAAATACCGGTTATTCGTTTTCTCATACTCAAATAGCTTTTTTGGCGAGATCGCTTCAACTGGCTCGTTGGTCTAGGGGTATGATTTCCGCTTAGGGTGCGGGAGGTCCCGGGTTCAAATCCCGGACGAGCCCAAGTAGTAAAACACATTTTTATTTTATTTTTTATTTTTGTTTTTTATTTGAAACTATAAACAATTATTTATACTTTTTTAAATTTTTGCACAAATAACGACTTAATTGTAAAAAATATAATATATTTTGCGTTTGCCACCAAAGTGGTACGAATAAAATTTCATCAGTAGTAAATATTTGATTAATACCAATGGTTAACAGAACAAATAGAGTTTAATTTATTAATATTTATAATGCAGTTATATGCTTATATGTGTAATATGCATCTATGTATGAATGCAAAACAATTTTGATTGTAGATTAAAGACAAAACCTAACAAACTACTGACAATGCCATCTACATATAATAGTTGAGCATATTTATGGTTTAACTGCTGTTATCGGTTTATTTTAGTTTTCTTTTCAATTTGGCCTAAACACTACACATAAGTAAATGACACATTTAATGGACATAGAAAGTTTGGATAAATGTTACAGATACAATACAATAATAAAATAGCTGATAAATACATAAAATGTTTTCGTCAACAAAGAAAATCCGATTTTAGCCAATAATTAATAAACCAGCCAGTAGCTAGTTTACGATGATCTTGTTGTTGTTGTTGTTGGTTGTTGTGTGTATTATTGTGATTAGTTTTTCCATTGCTCAGCGTCCCTTCCAGCTAATGGCGGAGGGGGGCGAACAGTCGTTGTTAGTGTAACTCAATCTCGTTCTCCTAATCGCTCCTGGTTAAGAGAATCTGCAGCAACATCACCAACATCATCTTTGTTAGCCAACTTCATATTTATGTATTTCCATTCGATTTTGCATTTGGTTTAAGTTTGTTGTTTTTTTTTTTCCTTTTTTTTTTTTTACATGTTAAATATATAAAATAATTTATTTATTATTAGCACTAATTATTCTTTGGTTGTTCCACTGGTTTTGTTGTTGTTCTTGTTCGCTCTTGGTTATGGGTTTGGGTTTCCATTCAATTCAATAGCTTTAGCGTTTCATTAGTTCATTGTTGTTCATTGTGCTTTTTCCTGTTGTAATTCATTGTCAGGGTTGTGCTGTTGCTGTATGTTAATGACGGCTGCCGTTTTATACGTTCGTTTGTGACTTGATCCCTCTGAATTGGGCAGGTTAATATTATTAGCAGTTGCCGTTGCTGTTGCTGTTGCTGAAGCTGTCGTCGATGATGCTGGTGATGTTGTTTTAGCAGTGGACTTTCGTAAATTCTTTCCAAACGTCGAGTTGCCTTTCAGACCTTTAATAGAACAAAGCAAGAGATAAAATAAAAAATTCATGAATATTATTTGGCTTAAGGCAATTCGAATGAATCTTTACATGTAAAAATCATGTGTATGTGTGCTTGAATGTGTGTGCGTGTGTGTGCGTGTTTGTGTGTGTGTGTGTTAGTGGAAAACAACGTGTAGATTATCTTATGGACAAAAAGAAATGCTTTTACACTCCACACCCGATAATAGAATAGACAACACATACATTTATCGCTGCTGTGTAGGCTAGCTAATAGTGGAGAAGAATATGTAGATAGATAGAGGACCACAGTGAAATACGTTATGGACAGTGGGTAGAGATTTAGAGAATTAGAGATTTGTTGTACGGCGGTGCTCAGATCAGCGTGATAGGAAAGTGAAATGCAATTCGTTTACCTTGAAAACATAAACGATTCTGATAGATGGCAAATATATCGTAGGGCTTGTAGCACGGCTCATAGGCTAGCTCAATGTCAGCGTTATCGATATCGTTGCCCGAATCAGAAATGTTTGTGGCAGACGACGTTTGGCAACGACTGAGCTTATGGGAGGGTATCACAAACTGGTTTTGCTCCATTTTATCGGGCTCTCTCGATGCCGTTACGGGGTCTGTGTCTGGGTCTAGAGATGCTGTTGTTGTAGCTGTTGTTGTTGTACTTGTTGTTGTTGTTGTTGTTGTGGATGTGATTCTTGTTGTGTCTGTATCAACCATTATTTGTGGTGGGCTCTGATCAGGCTTTTTTTTTTTTTTTTTTTTTTTTTTATTGTTTGGTTTTTGTTTTTGTGTTGCGGAAGATGGTAACAAAGTGTATTAGTTTTTGGTATTTCTTTAGTTTAGGTGTTAGTCACAGATATTTTATACATAGAGTCTTAGGACTACAGACAATCAATATTCAAATATAAACAAGCAGAGCTATCTACCTCACTGTCCTGGCAGGCAGCGTCCTCCTTCGATCCCGTGGTCAGGCCCTGCACAAAGTGCACATCGCTGCCCGGATCCTCTGAGGCCAAATGGGCGCGGAATTGTCGATTTCTGTAAATGAAAATGAAATATCGATTGAAATTCGTCTGATAATTCAAAGGGTGTGGATAGTTTACCTCAGCTCCAGTTGCTGCATTTGCTGGAAGTGCCGCAACTTGCCATTGGCCTGGTGCAGCTTCTCCTCCAGCGCAGCATTTTCCACACATTTTATGGAATACTTTTCAGAGAATGACAGAATCTCCATGCGCAGCTCGTCGAGCTCCTCCCTGCAAAGAGTTTACGAATGGCATTATTGAAATGTGAAACACTCGCTACGTTTCTTTCACTGTGGGCACTTACTCCTTCAGCTTGGCGCCATCTCCGCGTATGTGCTCCCCGCGCTGCACCTGGCGCAGGAACTCGGCTTTGAAGCGTGCCACCTCGCGTTGCACCTCGCTCTGATGGGCCTTGCGCATAGCATCCAGAGCAGCTAGAGTTGCCTGAAATTATAGCAGGAGGGTTGTGTTAAGATCCCCATAGAAACCGAATGGACTTGTTAATACGAACCTGCGTTTCCTCAGCTAACGCTGTTTCCTTCTCCGCCAGCAGACGCTCAATTTCCTGCTTGTGCTTCTCCTCCATATCGCAAATAAGTCGACGATGCGATGACTCCATGGCACTGAGCCCCTTCTCGCATAGTGTCTGTAGGGATAGATGAGTGCATTGGTGGTATATTGATATATGATTATGGATAGACCTACCCTTAGCTGTTCGATTTCCGTCTGATAGCGCTTGCGGAAGCTGAGCTCGTCTGGGGCATTGGCATGCTCGTGGCTATACACCTCCCTGAGGCACTCCAGCTGCTTGCCGTGCTCCTTCTCTAGCAGATCGAGACGTTTCTCCATGCGCTTGCAGCGCTCCTGCTGCTGGCCCAGTTCGTCGCTTAGTTCATTGCGCTGCTTCAGCAGCAGCTGCTGCTCCTGCTCCTGGCTGACGCACTTCTCCAGGGCGGCTGCCAATTCGCTCTCACGCTGCTCCAGCAGCTGCTCGCTGCGCTGCAGATCCGTTTCGGTCTGCTGGTGGAGTGCTGTCAGCTTATCGATGCGCTGCCGCAGCTCACAGCACTTATGGCAGGAGTCCTGCAGGCACGACAATTCCATTTGTTCGCTGACCAGCACACAGGTCTCGGTTAGAGCGCGCTCCAGTTGCCTCAGTCCGTCCTTTCGCTCGTTCAGTGGCGACACCGAGCGACGACTGCGATGGCCCGCACGCAAATGCTGCAATTGGGTCACACTCTGCTCGAGTCGCTCCTTGCTGCTGAGCAGGACATGCTCCAGACTGTGGAGTCGCTGCAGCAGATGGGCATTCAGGGGCGATGACTGACTGCTGGACTCGCTGCTAGACTCGGTGCTTGGGTTTGAGCTGGGCGTCGACTGGCGCTCCACGGTCTCGCGCTGCAGCTCGCTCAGCTTCAGCTCCAGCTGCTCCTTGCCCTTCAGCGAGAGCGAGCGCCGTCGCTCCGATTTGGCCAGCTTCTGCTTCAGCGCACGCACCTGCCGCTCCGAGGTGCTATACTTGATCGTCAAGTCCTGAATGCGAGCGGCCATTAATTGCAGCTGGGCCCCATCCTCCATCTGGCTGCGCTCCAGCTTCTGCTGCAGCGCTGTCTGGATCAGCTCGAGGGCATCGTATTGATTCTGGGACTGCTTCAGTTCACGCTTCATGGCGCGAATCTCGTTGACAGCCTTCTCGAACCGACTGCGCAGCTCGTTGTATTCCTCGGCCAGCGAATCCCGCTGCAGGCAATAGGGATCGATGTCGCTAATCGTGGTCAGGTCGCTCAGGGAGTCCATGCGCTTCATTTTGTGACGCTGCAGATTGCTCAGGCTGGCCACCTGACTGTTGCCCGCCTGGAGCTCACGCAGTCGCTTATATAGACTTTCGTTCTCCTCGATGCCCTGCGCCAGTCGATCCTCCAGCTGTTTGATCTTGCATTGGCTCTCCGTCAGCTGCACGCTCAGACCGTGCACAAGCTCCGCTGCGCTCTGCTTGGCGCTGTTCAGCTCGGCATTCAGCTGCTGTTGCTGCTCCTGCAGTCGCGCCGTCAGCTCCTGCTCCGTGCGCTGCAGCGTCGAGAGCAGCTCGGACATGCGTGCCTCCCGCAGCTTCGCCTCTGTACGCAGCGTTTCGCATTGTTGCTTCAGCTCCCGATCACGATCACGATCACGGTCTGGCCGCATCTCTTCGGGCACTGCCATCAGCGGCAGCTCATCGCTGGCCACACTGTCGACGGTGCTGCGACGCGAGCTGGGCGGGGAGCTGCGGCTGCGCTTGTGGAGACTAGCCAGGCTGCGATTGCGCAGGCAGCTGCGCAGAACGGGCGGAGAGGGTGAGAGCGGCGAGCCCCAGTCGAGGCTGTCGCGCCGCCCGCCCTCCGAGGCGGTGCGGTACTCCTCGTCCGAGGAGAAATGCGGCGCATTTGCCGGTGTTCCCGGCGTGGCCGGACTAGAGCCGAGTGGATTTGTCTGCAGTTGCGCCTTCATGAAGTCCTGCTCAATGTCGCTCGGCTTCATTGCCGTGGGCGACACCGTTGTCGCCGTGGTCTCCAGCAGCTGGGGCAGACCCGCTGCACTGCGCAGTGCCGCCAGCCAAGTGTTGCGCGAGCTGGGCGAGAGTCCGGCCAGGAACAGACGCTGCTTGTCCCAGGTGATCAGCTGAAAGGCGTGCTGCTTGCTCACGCTGGGCTCCTCGACGACGTTCGACAGGCTGTTCACATCCAGGACACCATCGAGCACGCCCCTCTCCTCGCACAGCGGATCTCTGTAGTAGAAGAGCGCCGCACCACTGAGGGTGAACCAGTGCTTGCTCCACTCGCCCGTGCGGTTGTCCAGCTTCATGAGCCAGCCCTTTTTGGCATTGAGGGACTCCTTTAAGCTCTTGGCCGACGACGATTTGCCGGAGACTGTGCACTTGCTGGACTTGCTCAGGGGCCTCAGCTCGTCCGATTTGGCCAGATAGTTGGCGCACAGCTCATCCAGATTACAGCCGCCATCGGGATCGCCTCGCTCGTGCTGATAATGCTTAGCGGGCTTCAGCTGCAGCTGCAATCGGCTGCCGGCCTTTCCACTCTTGGCGCTCTCCACTTGCTGTTTCGATTGTTGCTGCTGCTGCTGTTGTTGCTGCTGTTGCTGTTGTTGTTGCTGCTGTTGTTGTTGGGATACCAGCACCGTTGGTATCTTCTTGACTATTGCGGACACAATGGCTGGCGTTGAGTTGGCCGCCAGTGGTAATGACTTTGGTCTCAGATTGCCAGTCGTTTGCTCGCCTTTACCGGAGCTCGTCACCTGGAAGTCGGTCTCGTCGCGCGACGTCTGGTACGGGTAGTGATGATTGTTAAGCGCATTGTTGACAGCCGTCGACCAGCGCTTGTTCTGCTGTTGACTAAGGTTCGTTATCGTATTGGCAATATCCTTGATGGACTTCTCATCTCGTCGAATGTCCTCGATCAGCAAACAGCCAGTGGGCTGGGAAACTGCAAAGAGATCGTTACGAATTAGTGAATTGATTATAGACAGTTGCTTGGGGCCCTCGACTTTAGGGACCACCGAAAATGAAAGTCTTTTAAAATCGAAAAAAGAAGGGAACGGACGTAAAAAAATGGGGCCCTAAATTGATGGTTGCCTAAGGCCCTGCTGAGGGGGGTGAACCGGCACTGGGCGCAATCTAGAGACTCTCAAGTAATATTATTTTGAGCTCTCACTCCCTCAAGCTGTCAAATTGAGCAAACGCTTTCATTAGGCGCATTGAAATATGAATAGGACCAACTATTTTCTAGAGTCTAAGCGTATCAGTGTCAGTGCTTGCTCAGGGATTCCATACTCGCAGAAATGTTATCAGCCAACCGAAAGCCATAAACCGCGGAGCAGCGCTAAGTTATTTGTGTGCAAACATAATAAAATTATTAAAACGAGTGGAATGGTAAGAGGATCCCTTTCGTGGCTGAGATGCGCGATAAGGCGAACAAGTTTTCGCCGAGGAAAAGGAAACCTGTGAGAGAGTGACGAGTCGTTGCGGTGTGGTAGTGGTAGTAGTGCCATAATTTTATTAACACCCAAACGAGTCAACGATCCATCGGGGCACTATCGGCCGAGAGGCATTGCCGCCGAGTTGTCCCATAAATATATATGATTACAATATCCTTTTGAGAACAAACGGATGTATCAGATTTAATCAAAAATTATAAAATTTATCAAGTATTTACAACAATAAACGAA